TGGCAACTTTAAGACTTGTGGACTTCAACTCCCAGAATTCTGGGAGTTGAAGTCCACAAGTCTTAAAGTTGCCAAGTTTGGGAACCACTGATCTAGAATGATCTCTTGCTAGAACTGTTATATGCAGGGATTGCACTGCACTCTTAATAATTGACAATAGACAGCAGCATCCATTTTTGAATCGGCATATCAGAAGACGTGGCCCCCGCACTGTTTCTCTCCCATCTGTCATAAGATTTCAAGGCCCAGGCATTTTTATTTTCTCATCTTCCAGATACCTGAAGCAAAATGCATCAGGTTGGCTTACTGGCTTACGCCACCAGGTATAAACATGTCGTCTAAAGGGCCATGATTTGTTCAGTGTGGGGAGCGAATGTCATAGCCTTCCTAAATCAATGGTTCTCTGGTACTTATCTGTAAGGTAAGGGGAAACTACCTGGCTAGCCAATCTGTATTCATAAGAAACTTTGCTTCCTTGGATTACTTCCTTTTCTTCAGATTGATAGCTGCATTTACCAGTGTTTTACCTGCTCATCAATTGATGGAAGTAAAAGTCTGTCTTGAAATGGGGTATTCAGGTGTTCGTGTCTCAAGTGCTTGTACAGCACTTCAGGGCTAATGTCCACTCTAATTGTGCATAGCCACTACCATGCTTCAATGTTGATTTTATAGTGACATTAATGGTAGCAAGAGGTATTTGATTTTTTTTATTGCAAGTGAAGGTAATTCTCCTTACTGACGGAATTTTCTCTCAGGGGACAGGAAGAAATATATATATTGGTCCTGACTTCTGCAGAAAGAGTGAACTCTTTCCCTCCCATACACAGTGATATTTCACAGTAATATCCAACAACATTTTGGTGGGGTTTTGTATGGTTCTCACTTTAGTACCCATTGAAGAATGTGGAATATTGAGGTTGAAGGAAATATTTATAGAGGCGTTTTTCAGTGTCACTGGGGAACTAGATTAATTTGAAATGTATAAATTCTCTTTTTAAAATATATCTATATCTATATCTATATCTATCTATCTCTATCTATCTCTATCTCTATCTCTATCTCTCTCTCTATCTATCTCTATCTCTATCTCTATCTCTATCTCTATCTCTATCTCTGTCTCTATCTCTATCTCTATCTCTATCTCTATATATATTAGCATTATCATACATGCCATAAGGAGAAACAAATTTGCAATAGAGTACTTTCCTTTGGAAGAAAGAATAAGGCAATGAGTTTGTTTTGGGATCTACAATGAAGATTGAAAAAGAAAAGAATGGCCT